CTTTAATAAATTTATCGACGTGTCCAATAAATTTGTGTTCTCTAAGTACCTACGTAATTACGAGACATTCCTATATTATTCAGTAGATATAGTATTTAATAAATAAAAAGATATTGGCTGAGTATAGGTGTACGTATTATTTAAGTAAACATTGTTAGGGTGTATTTTATAAGCCCCCACGGGTAGGTATCTGCTATATTGCTAATTTGCTCTAAATCAGTCATGCTTTTTAAGATGAAAGACCACAAGTGTCATGGTAGGTGGCTTTAATAACCAATCTAAATCAGGTGGGTCACGAGGTCGTTCACCTATTTAATAAAAAATTAACTAAGAATACTTTTATGATTATCTATTTAATAAATATGGTCAAAATTGACTTAATTAAGAAGAATCCAAAAAGCACGTTATTTATGGTAATGCGTGAGTTGTTATTTATATTTTTTCTTCTTCTATTCTATTTCTATATTATATTTATATTATTATACTGTTATACTATTTCTATATTCTAATTATATTTCTTCTTTAGTAAGTTTTACTTTAGTTTTATATGTTCGTGTAGCGTCTATGCGCTCTGTTTATCTCATAACATCACGAGGGCCGTATGCTCACATATCTGCTCGTGATGTCTGCCTAACATAGATAATAACAATGACTAAAATATAACAATAACTCCTCAAAACGATAGATTTATTTCAAGGCGCTACGTTTGCATCAAATTGAGCGCTTTCAAACCGAATTAGCACACACAATTTACACAGTTACTTGACAATTTTTTTCATCTCAGTGAATTGTCATAATTATTGAATGTTTTCGCTTGCGCACGTACCTACCTATATTGTTCACGGTTTGTTTGTGCATGTTTGATGCATTTCAGAAGCAATTCAAACCAATTTACATGTCGTAGTCAAAACAAAAAAAAACCTATATAAATGTATTTCCAATATTTCTTGTCCTCGTCGCTTCAAGCACAATAACTAAGACTAGAGGTCCCGCAGTAGTCGAAATTCGACTATAATTAATTGGAATAGTTTGTACACTGTTATGATTGTATTTTATACTTCTATAATCACAAATTTCACCAAAACTACACTATAAAAAATATTAACAAAGACAAACAATATTTAATCTCAATTTGACAACAGACGTCAAGAACAAAAGTTTGACAATAAGTAGTATGCATGCGTGTGTGCGTCAAATACATAGTATGTAGTGTGTGTAATGTTTTCTTTATTGATTTAACGTATCTTTCATGCATTATTTTTAAAAAATATTAGCATTGTGCACTTCTTCTCTATATTATCTATAAGTGTGGAAAATTTCATACTCCTCCGTCCTCGCAATTTTCGTAAAAAGGGATACAAAGTTTTTGCTTCACGTATTAATATATAGATAAACGAAATAAATTTCATTTCTAATAACGTGTATACTATATTTCAAATACGTAACTGTAGTAAGGGAAAGAAATGAACTTAATTAATATCTAATATTGGTATTATAGACGAGAATTGTTGGTCTCCCGTATAGATGTGGTTTGTATATACGGGTCGTCCGGACTTGTAGCGTAATTGAGGTAAAGGTGCGTAGGTACCTGAGTAGGCGCCGTCGGTGTTCGGATAATAAATTAAAATCGACACCTCGCACTAATGGAATGTTTATTACAATTAACACTTAGTCCACACGAAAATACAACACAGTCTATAATTATTATTATAATAATGAAGAATAGAAGGTTACGAGCACAGAGAGATATAGTTTATAGGTAGTACACAGAAGACACTTTACACGACAGTACAGTAACGCTAAACACAAAGAAAGCGCGTTATCACAAGAGATGCAAAAGCTTCGAAAACAATACAACAGTATATAATTAGCAGAAGCGACGTGCGTTCAGTACGAAGTAAGTTTCGACTGGGGGCGTGACTAGCCGCGATCAGCTGCGCAGGAGTGCTTTTCGATCTACCCGCGACATTCCGTTCAAGCGCGCGTGTCCACAGCGCAAACGAACGGGCGACCAGCTGATTGACGCGGTACGATAAATTGTCGTGTGTGTATGTCTGTTTTATATGTAATGTAGTAATAATATATTAATAGATATGTTATATGTGTGAATGTATATTCTGTGTGTATTAATAATTATATGAAATAAATATATTATATATATATTATATTGTGGAGTAAATCTGTGTGCATGGAATGTGGGATAAGCCCACAGTATTGATAACTGTGTAACCCTGTACAAAAAAAAAGTTTAAAAAAACTAACAAAATACGCTTTTATAGAAAATCCAACTAAATAATAGAAAAAAATCTAATTCTAATCAATTTGAATTAAAAATAGTGTAAGAAAAAATGATTTTATTGTAAAAAACCGTGAAGTGTTTTTCAGGATATTATCAAAATAACCCTTCTTACTCATATCTCTTCATAAAATATTTATAACTACTGATACCATGCGCCCCACGTTTTTTTAGTTGGATTTTCTATAAAAGTGTATTTTGTTAGTTTTTTTAAAACATTATTTATTTTTAATTTTTTAGTTGAACTTAAATTTTTTCAATTTTTTTAAATATTAAATTGTCATCGGTCCTTAATAAGTATACAAAGTTTCGAGTTGATCCAACGTTTTGAAGGTGGTCAAAATCATGTTCAAAGATTCCGTTACATACAAACATACATACGTCTGAAGCTAGTAAAAGCGTATTAATATAATTTCTTCCTGCAATGCAATGATAAGAAAAATAAAGCAATATAAATTTAATTATGTTATATATAAATAATACATAAGTTAAAATTGAAAAGTCTTTTAATTAATAACGACTTATTAATAAGCATGCTGTTAATCTTTATAATGGCTTAACGAACTCAATATTCAAATATCGTAAATTTTAAAATGCTTCGTGGGATTAATGATACGCTTATAAACTATTAAAGCACTTATGCCTTTCGTTGTGAAGCTATTGTCAATTTTAGTTCAGTAGACCGGTCTTTTGTTGAATGGTTATTCGAATTACTAATAGCGCTATTGTGTAGTACATTATGTGGTTGACGCGATGTGTCGTTCTAGATTTATGGAAAATGCTTTAGTACTAATTTTAAATAATATAATTTATGTAGGTAAACGTTTAGTTATTGACAGGTGAAATTTTTACTGGTGGTAGGACCTCTTGTGAGTCCGCGCGGGTAGGTACCACCGCCCCGCCTATTTCTGCCGTGAAGCGGTAATGCGTTTCGGTTTGAAGGGTGGGGCAGCCGTTGTAACTATACTTGAGACCTTACAACTTATATCTCAAGGTGGGTGGCGCATTTACGTCGTAGATGTCTATGGGCTCCAGTAACCACTTAACACTAGGTGGGCTGTGAGCTCGTCCACCCATCCAGTAATAAAAAAATAAATATTGAAATTTCAAAATTGAAAAAAAATCGTACTAAAAACGTAAAAAGACCATTCTAAGTTTAAATAAAGTGTTGTTATTTAATGTATTCTTGCCACGTTTAGTTTTAGTGAGTTCACGTTATGTTAGCCCTGATGCAAGCGCCGTGATCACTGCTAGATTGAAGACCGCGAGTGGGATTTTAGGAGCAGCCTACCCTCTTTCTACCTTTTATCCTCTTTCGTCACCCCTGCCTTGTGTGGCAGGGAGCTTCAGCCCGGGCAGTGGGGTTTGCCCCGAGGCCTGTTTCTTCTTACTTATTACCCTTCTTACTCTCCTCTTTCGTGTACTGCTTATACTTTAAGGCAAATATTTTTTTTTGTATGGAAACTAACGACATCTTGTAGCGAATGCTCCTAAACTTAGATGTTAAACAGAAAATAAAGAAATAAATCATACAAGTATTTATTTGCTATAGACAAATTGATTAAATTTTATCAATTTGTGGTTTATGAAAATTTACAAAATCTTTCATTAAAAATAGAATATAGGATAGGTGTTATGTTACTTCCGTCTACAGGAGCAATGAGAAACTAATCGAAGCGAAGCCATCTAGTGGCCGACGCCCGTAAACATTTTGTTGAGTGCTTGAGTTGCTTATCTATAACTAATTTATGTGTATTATCTATGGTGTCCGTTTCTGAAACTTCTGAAACTCGATGACTCGCTCTAACTATGCCTCGGCTTTCTTAGTTTTTTCAGGACAATATATTTTACTTTTTTCCCAAACCTAAGGGTTTCATTATAAAATTTCCAGATTCATTGTTCGATTTTACACTCTAATTGCGATTTATCTAATCTAACTTTAAGTCGATGTAACAAAAAAAACTATAGCTAAATTAGTAAAAAGCATTGTAAGAGATAAAATAATTAATGACTTTCACAGATTATGTTTAAAAAGACTTTACAAAATCACTGTCTCATTAATTTCACTTGTAACACTGAGGTAACACTTGAATAAGGCTTCCTACATTCAGTCTATGACGTGATGATTAATGGACATTACATTCGTTAGCGCTTAGAACTTGTTACATCGGAATTTTGTCGTAAAAAACAACTGAAAGCAATACCTTCTGAGATTACGTAAAGATGAGAGAGAGAGAGAGAGAGAGAGAGATGACTTTCGTCTTTACGCGTCCGAATTATTACAGATTCGTTACAGTTTCGGGGAAACATAAAAAAATGTATAGTGTTTTGATATGGTTTAAATGTTTTAGTGCTTAGCTTATTTTCACATATTTTTGTAAAACGATTTTTGAACAAAACCATGCAATACAATACATTGCATGTATAACGTTTTACTTACTTAACTTACTGGTGGTAGGATGTCTCTTGTGAGTCCGCACGGGTAGGTACCACCACCCCGCCTATTTCTGCCGTGAAGCAGAAATGCGTTTCGGCTTGAAGATGTGGTTATTTCAACATAACAAACAGACCACATAAAGTTTATTTATATGTATAGATAATAGAAATACTTAAAAATTAATCCATACTAATTTCTTGTTTTTTTAATCATTAAGTATTTATTTTGAAAATGACATTGCGATGATGATTTTCTATTTTGTTTCAGATTATGTTCAGGGGCGGCGTCGTCGGCAGCTTGGACGCGCGTCGAGACGCCGCGCTTGCCCGCGTGCTCGTTCGCCTGCAGGCGAGGGCGCGCGGGTTGCTCGCCCGACGCAAGGCCCAGCGTTTGCGGACGCAGCACACGGCCGCGCGGTGCATCCAACGCAACGTGCGGGCCTTCCTCACGGTGCGGGACTGGCCTTGGTGGAGGCTGCTCGTGCGAGTCACGCCCCTGCTCGCCGTGCACAGGACTGAACATCGACTTAAACAAGCACAGGTACGTGTTTGAAGCGGTTGATGATGATGGTTCTTTGGTGATGATTGCAAAAAGTGGAAATGAGTTGCTCGCTCCGGGCATTTCAATATTGCAATAATTGTTACGTTATAATACTCATTGTAAAAATGAATATTTAAGAAAAAAGACATGCCTGCTGAGTTTCTTGCCAGTTCTTCTCAGGACGGAGGCTAGTTTTTGTGAATTGGCGGTAATTTCTTTTTGACGTTCATTAAGTATGTACTTTCATTTATGTTGAATAAAAATTTTTGATTTGATTTAATGGATAGTTTCGGTGTTTATGACTTCATCGACAACTTCTTCGCTTATCAACTTTCCGCTGGTCACTCGTTGAGTCATGTTCGCCTACCACCGTCTGTCTCTATCTTTAAGAGTTACTGTCATTGAAAAATATCACCGGCTTAAAGAAGCCAAATTATGTATCTTGTCTTTGTTGTTATAAGTGTTTCCTATGATATCCCATATATTTAAGGTCATTGTATATTTGACCATGTAGTATGTGTTGCGACGGTATAATAAAGTTGTTGGGATCATTTCCAACTTCAATGTGTTTACAAAAGTATCATAGTATCTAACGGATCTTGGAATATATCACTTTATCGGCAAGCAGCGGTCTGGCGGTGACTATTTACCACATACCAAGGAAATAAAAAACCAAAAAAGTCTTTTGAAATATAAAATTTTTAAACGATTAGGAAGATGTACAAATGAGGTAGATTTCGTTAGAAGTATAACTTCGAAACCACTGCCAATTCCAATTACCAATACTAATGTTTCTTATAGAGAATATACCCATAGAGTAGTGTGAAATCGTCATGAGGATAGCCTTATCGTTTCCGCCGCTGACTACTCTCCGAATCCTGATCACGCAGGAGCCAGTCACCGTCGACGCCCTAGACACGTCCTTACGGATTCTTCAGATCCAATAACCTTTGCATTAGACGCCTTCAGCTCTAACACTAAGAACAGGCTTAGGGACCCCGATAACTGTACTCGTCGAACTCGACAAAGAGGTCGACGTGCAACTTAACCCATGCATCAGTTTGCTGAGTTTCTCGCCGGATCTTCTCAACGAATCGCGATTCCGATCCTGTAGTAGATTCATTCGCGAAGCAAGCTGCTCTTGAGTTGTTAGGTCTCCTTCGGAGGCGCTCGGGCAGCTGTTGGCAAATCCCACCCCTCTTGGCTGAGCCTTTGCTCGCCCACCTGTCCTGGTGAAACTAGGCAGGCCTCCGGGCCACCAGTAATCCTTCAATCCTAAAAAAAAAGTATTGTGAAATACAAAACGCAAAGAGATCTTGCGCAACAATGAATGTTTATAAAAAAGATAGAATAACAATCAGTTTGATTCGGTCATGGGTTATCTCACTCGCCCCGATTTTATGCACTAAATGTAATATTAATAAAAAAAAACGTTTCCTGTTTGTTTAGTGGCAGCTGTAAATCAAATTCTTAACGATCGACCTCTATCAAAGTTTACAGCTAATCACCACTAAAGACTTTTAAAATATATACGACGAGTATATAATATTTCTGTGTTTGACAATATTTTATTTCGGTATGTTGTAATAATTTTGATGAACAAAGTCATCTATGTAACTATGTAACTATACTTGAGACCTTAGAACTTATATCTCAAGGTGGGTGGCGCATTTACGTCGTAGATGTCTATGGGCTCCAGTAACCACTTAAAAACTAGGTCTGTGAGGTCGTCTATCCATCTAAGCAACAAAAAAAAAACATTTATAAATAAAAATATGAAGCTATTGTTTGGCTGTGACGCTTTTGGAGTTAGTATCGGAATATTTCATTAAAGTTGAAATTAACTGAGCTGTTGTGTGAATGTGGCTACATTTTTTCCTGTCGAAATGCTTACTAAATCTATATATATATTATATAAAAATGAATTGCTGTTCGTTAGTCTCGCTAAAATTCGGGAACGGCTCGACCGATTTGACTAATTTTGGTCTTGAATTATTTGTGGAAGTCCAGAGAAGGTTTAAAAGGTAAATAAATATGAAAATGCTCGGAATTAAATAAAAATAACAATTTTGTTTTTCCTTTGATGTGTCCCCCGTCGGACGGATTCCTTTTGTTTGTTTTAAGTTTATTTTATACAAAAGCTTAGGTTTTATCGATTGAGGCACTACGAAGTCTGCCGGGTCAGCTAGTACATATTATAAATTTACGATAGAAAAAATAAAAAAATTACAATTTCATTAAATAAACTTTTATTTTTAGACAGAGAAGAACAGATATATTAAACAGTTGTTCCTTTAAAAACAGAGTGATGTAACCTACAAATAATACTAGTTATTTACTCGCCCGTAGGCAATAGCTAGTACATACAAGTAGTACTTTTACTATGAAGTAACATGTGCAGCTTTCACATGTAGACGGCGAACGGCCCTTTCCATTCATTATGAACACAAACTGAATATAACATCGTTTCCACTAAAAATCACTCATTTGCATTCACAGCGGATTCTTAACATAATAACAAAATAAAAACGTGACTATCTTAATTGAATTTCTGTATAAAAACAGGTTTAGATTTGTTTACTTCAACGCTTGGGTTTTGTTATCGTTGATTCAGGTTGTTATAATTCCCGAAGCCGAATGCGAATGCGAATGCGAATATTTTCTTAATCAAGACTATTTATCGCTTGAATATCGCGTTTCATTGTTTTCGTTTTATTATTAAAGGATTATTATTTTGATTACTTTTCTAGTAAACTGTAGTTTGTATTTGACGGTAATTAGTTGGCACGATATTCAAATATCGAATAATAAATAACAAACATCTTAGTCATCCGTGGAGCACCAGTAATATGTTTCGTAAAAAAATTAAAAACTTTTTGACCGACTTGAAAAAAAGGGGGAGTTTTCAATTCAACGTTTTTTTTTATGTGTACACTTTTTTTTTAAATGAAGTGATTTTGATGATTATTTTTCATTTAAAATGCCTCATTCTGCTGAAGTCGGTTTCCTTGTTCGTTGAAATTTCAACCGAAACTCTATCGTAATACACCTTCATTGAACGTTTATAAAAAAGAAAAAAAACTGAATATCTAAAACAGCCTACCATTCAATCTATATTAAACAGTTTGTCTCACACTAACAAAGGAGATAATACCTGACGTGTTCCACACAGCGTACCTACTGTGTGATACCCGCGACGATATGTCTTTAATGAAAGTAATGAATAATATAAAAAGTTGAGATCCCACAGTGCTGCCACCCGCAGCGTAAAACAAACTGACTTCCAACAAATACGTTGTTTATATGTATAATAGTTTTTTTTTTTTTAATTAATTTCTAACATTTCATAATCGATTTTAATTTATAGAGATGTTTTTTTTATTGCTGGCTCACTGTATGAGCTGTTTGAGAAATGGTTAGTATAGTCACCACCAAAACTGGGACATGAGCAGAATTCAATGCCATCCTTCAAATCGGAATCCATGACTACCTGACGGTGAAATTGGGCATGGTATACCCGTAGATAGGTATATCTGTACGAGCCCAGATCGCAACTAGTAAATTTATAAAAGTAGCTTTTTTGTTGTTGGAAAAATCGATTTTATCGTCTTATTACGTGTGCACGTCCTTATTAGGTACCTCGAAAGATACCAATTTTCCAGAAAAGCTTAACGCTGGCAATACTCGATACGGGTCATACGGTCGACAGTCATTATCAACTTGTTGTTACAAATGTCTTAGAAACCTATCGTTAATTTAGCGTGTTCGTGTAATATGTGATTCAACTGTTGATTATTCCAATTACCGAGAAAACTCTGTGTCGTCAAATAACTCGGTTACTATAGATATGTATGTATAATTATTCCTGTCTGATTGATTCGTCAGCGTGATGCTTTAATCGTCGGGGCTATAAAGTTTGGTTAGCTAATTCCTTTTGTGCTATAAACGTCTTTTTAGGAGAGTTTTTCAAAAGATTAAGAAATTAAAAGATTTCATTTTTATTTTTTTTTATTGCTTAGATGGGTAGACGAGCTCACAGCCCACCTGGTGTTAAGTGGTTACTGGAGCCCATAGACATCTACAACGTAAATGTGCCACCCACCTTGAGATGTAAGTTCTAAGATCTCAGTATAGTTACAACGGCTACCCCACCCTTCAAACCGAAACGTATTACTGCTTCACGGCAGAAATGGGCGGGGTGGTGGTACCTACCCGTGCGGACTCACAAGAGGTCCTACCACCAGTAAGTTGAAATACTTATATGTATAATTACTGTAATTTACTGTCAACACAATATTCCGATTCACCTGTAAAGCACAGCGGCGGGTCGCTAGTTCATTAGTAATATATGCCGATATTTATCAGAAAAGTCCGTCGTCTTTATCGGCCTAATAGTCGGTTTCCTGCACTCGTCGATTGCACAACACTAGCCGCTGTCCGGTTATTTGAGTTCGATCACTAATCGTTTGTGATTTCCGCAAGATTGCGTAGTCGAATAGGGCTGGTTCTTTGTTCACGGGATACTTCACACATTTATACTTACTAGAGGTCCCGCAGTAGTCGAAATTCGACTATAATTAATTGGAATTGTAAGTTTGTACACTATTATGATTGTATTTTATACTTCTATAATCACAAATTTCGCCAAGACTACACTATAAAAAGTATTAACAAAGGCAAACAATATTTAATCTATTCTCAATTTGACAACAGACGTCAAGAACAAAAGTTTGACAATAAATAGTATGCATGCGTGTGTGCGTCAAATACATGGTATGTAGTGTGTGTAATGTTTTCTTTATTGATTTAATGTATCTTTTATGCATTATTTAAAAAAAATATTAGCATTGTGCACTTCTTCTGTATATTCTCTATAAGTGTGAGAAATTACATACTCCTCCGTCCGCGCAATTTTCGTAAAAAGGGATACAAAGTTTTTGCTTCACGTATTAATATATAGATTAATACGAGTGTAGGGCGTTTTGTTTGCCGGTCTTGTG